TCCCACGTATATAATCTATCGGTTGACTCTTTAGCAAAGCAGCGTTCAAAAGAAACTACGTAATCCAAATACAAGTTAAACATCTATTATTGGGCATGTGTAGTATATTGATTTCTTCACCATATTCCATTGTTCACTGTGTAATAGTTCCTTGCTTTTCTGGTGAAAAATGTGTACCGTAGTGTCTGTAGGCATCCATTCGTTCGCTCCTCCGTTTTTCTTGCTGCCGGTGTATACTGAAACCGGTCGATACTTTCGTTATGACCAGCTTTCGTCGGCAATAGTACCGCCTTTATTTTTAATAGTCATGACCTCAGTGACTGATTAAGCTCACCACGTGATTCAGGAAGAAGAAACGCATCACTCAAACACAGTAAGGGGCCGTTAGACCCAGGTTACGCTGAGCTTTGGTCAATAACCAGTCGAATTTCGCCAATGCTCTAGGATTGACTATTGCTCAACCATATTCGAAGGCGGCTGATTGGGACAGCGGTTATAGAACGATTGGAAAATTAACATCCCACTCAAAACCGCGCTTACCAGCTAGATCAAACGCAAATATCTTGTTTGCCCAACTGAGATAGCGTGACACAGATGATGGACTAACCAACTTTCATTCCCATCTGGGAGACTAATTTTACGGCCACAATCATAATCGAGGCTTAGGTGACCACAGCACCAAAAATAACTACAAAAGCTGTATAAAAATTCAATGTCTTACAAAAAAACGGTAGATAGCTCAAAGATGTTTTTATAAGAAAATCATAAATCATCGATTGTCTTAGCTTGACTCACCTCAGGCAATCGACCGATGCACTCTTCGTGTCAATTGAACGCTTCCGTATTTCACCCGAATTTCGAGCATTAGCTAAGACAAAACACCATGAATTGACACAACAACATCTGCGCTTATCTGGTTGAGATGACTTTCGTTGCAACCACTGTTTCATTTTCATATTCCTTTTTGTAACACTTAGATTGGTTCGGGGCGATTTTATCTAAAATCAAGGCTGACACAACATTTTTAAATAACCGTTTTATACATCTTCAATATCTAAAGAGGTGATTTCTTCAAAAGGACGCTCACCAATAAATACGTAATGCGTAAAATCCTCGATCCGATCGCATTTATCCTCTGTTGGTTGTATTACCATTTGACACAATGTGAGTTAGAAGTCAGCATTTATAAAAGCGTTGAAAAGTACAAACAGAAAAACAGGTATCCAAACTTGTTTTGCCATGAAAATGGCCATATCGGCTTTTATGTTGGATTGCTCATTTGCTACAAAAGACAAAAAGTATTCCAGTAAATATTTTTGAAATGAACATTTGAAAGATCAAGTTATCACCTGGTTCATCGGTTTCAACACCAAAGAACACTTTAAAGACAGCCATTTTATTTCACATACGAGAATGCTACGGCTTTGATATGACAATGTTCGTTACATATGGATAGTAGGATAGAACGTTCTTGGAAAACCACGTTGAGGTTCATCCTGGACAGCCAAATTTGGGATGAAGCAGTAGTGATGAAAATTATGCTCAGACGAAACAGAAAAGTGACTTTCACTGCATTTCTTGGCTCCAAAAACTGTTTTAAATCTAAAACTTACATCATCAACAGCATTGAAAATGTCACAATAGGCATATCCACAGAGAAACTGCGGTGACTCCACGCGTCCACTACATCACATGATACTGTCAATCTTTGCTTGTCTCTTGCTATGTAACATTGAATACCACATATATCTAATAAAGAGCAAACTAACCTTTGAAAACCTTGAAGTCACCAGGATGAATCAGCTTGAACTCACTGCTCCTCATCATTGAAAACGCATCATGCATTTCCTTCTTAGTTATAAGTTACGCCAAGGTGGCATAAATAACTGCCTTTAACTTATCGTTCGGTTATTAGATGGTATCTTTTCTGAGATGTACTGAATTTGACAAATTATCCGATAATCAGTCGACTGGATATAACAGTGTAAACAGTTTTCCTTAAAATGCCAAATGATTCTGCTTCATAACTCGGAGTTGGACTAGGTTCATTCAACATTTCCAACACATTCTGCTTCTCTCTGATAGAGAGGTTTTTGAACGTTGTCCCTTCTTGGACTGCTGGCATCAAGCTGCCTTCCTCACAAGGGTTGTCCAATTAGTGAACAGCCTTATGTCTGCGTGGAACTAGATGAGCCTCAATGGCTGATTGCGACATTGTATTTCGGTTGGTCAGTGGTTAACTCGTATATCGGTCAGCGACCAAGTGAATAAGTAGCAGCAACTGCGACAGACTGTAGGGATGACATTGTTGGTACATATACACATGGTTCCGGTTTGATGAAAGTGCGAATTCTCATGGCTGCAACATAGCGGAAGATTGACTGTAATATAAGTTAGCAGTATGTAAATGTGAGTAGCGTATTTCCCTACAACCGCTTATTCAGTTTAGTCTTTCAATACTACTTCCCATGACACAATCAAAGATTGGCGCTAGCGTTAACTATATTGAAGATAAGAGCTTGTTACCCACAAAATAGAAAGATAAAGTTATCAGATTGATTATTTACGGAGGCACGGTCTCGAAAGATCTTGTAAAGATCTAAACAGCACCCTTATAGTGCGTGAAATTGACAGAACGCTA